TTCTTACCCCTTATCCCGTCGAATAATCGGCACGAGGGACTCGAGCACGCAACGGCCGACGATCGCCGCTCTCGAAAACAATCGCAAGGGAATAAAGCTTAAAGTAGCATTATTACAATACGATGTAATAATGCTGGAAAATTGAGGCTTAACACAACGGTTTGTACTTTTCTGTACATCTTTACTTGTACCATGTCTCTCACATTAGTCATGTAGGATAATTTATCTTATCTTCCGGTGGATGTATAACGTTAAAACTACAAATTATTATTTTTATGTTAGGTATTGATTGAAATGAAAAAAGCTAGTGTTTCGAGCGGGATTCGAACCCACGACCATCGGCTCAATACGCCGCTGCTCTTGAGCTATCGTGACTTCGATCCACTCGGACACCAACTCCACATCTCAACCTACAACCTTTCGTATTCTTTTTTGTCATTTTTCAAATTTAATGGGTTTACAAAGTGCTTAAAATAAATATGATGGAATTTTTTCTATAACAATTTTTCTTGTCTGCTTTACTCTGAACGTTTTTTCGGTTTTGCAACTTTTTATATATGTACTCGTATTTTATACAATCCTGCTTATTATTTTCTTACTTATATAACAAAACAATAGACTGATGTATATAATAACTTATAAATATATACAGAAGAAATACAGAAAACCGCATTAAAAATTATTATTTAAATTATTTATAAGAAAAATAATAATAAATTTTCGGCTCGTAGAATCCACGCTCAAACACTACCAAGAAAAATTTCATTAAAATTGGTGTCCGTATCCATCCCTTTTAAATACTTCGGCCGTTTCCGGTCATTTTGGATAGCTTATCCTTGATGTTTATAGGACTCGTCTCGCCTTCTCGCAATCATCAGCAGTACTTTTTGCTTAAAGGTGATGAATAATGGATGAAAGGACTTATTTTGCTATGTTATGAAACGGATTTATTGTCTTTAAAGAACAAAGTCGACAGATAATCACACTGTCTCACTGAAGATGAATAAATGTCGAAACGCTTCTGTCATACTAAATTTTTTTTAAACATGGGGGGATGATAGCCAGACAAGAATGATCAAAAAGTACCATAAAGTTATGTTTTTTCTTATATGGTTATTTTGTAATGTCCAAAGCAAAATAGCGAGAATAGGAAGACCAAACATAGATCCCAAGAAAAAACTAATTTTTAAAATACTTGCTTTACCCATGGCAAAATATCCTCAGTGTGAAACTATAGTCCAAAGTTTATGTACATTAACTTTGTTACTAAAAAGTTTAGTTGTTATTTTATCTCAACTTTCTACTTGACGAAAAGGGGCGATTAAGAATCTGATGGTGTGTTGTAGGCCGCCCTCGGATCGAATATTGGACTAGCCTTTTTTATTCCAAATAACAGGTTTTTGTCTATTGAAATTGGCTATTTGTTGCGTGGGTGTTTTTTTTAAATGTCAATTTTTGTAGGGCACATTTATTTCCTATAATTGACGGATGGCAAAATTCAAATCATTTGCAAACCTGAGTTATTCTGAGTCGTCAGTATTGTGACGACTGATGACTGTGTTTTCACTTCTCAATTTATAAGTCGAGCCCCGTTCCTATGAACCAATCGGAAAATCAATTTTGAACCCTTCTCGGAAACGAAATTAAACAGTATTACATTCGCGTAATTCTTTGTGTTTCCGTGCTCTCTGTTTGAAGTTGAATATATTTCATTTTTATGCCGGGGGAACAAATGATTTTTAATATATATTAATAATGTGCCGGACTTCATGGGAAAAACATTTTCCTCTTTCTCCGTATTTCCCCCCTCCCAAATGGCATTATATATATTTAAAAGAAAAATGGCTTCTTTTCTGGAGGGAGGTTACTTTTGACTTTTTGCCTTGGCGTTTTCAAGAAAAGCTAGCTTTGATTTATAACTTCTACATTGAAAATATACTTTTAATGTATGACTTAGTACTTTACAAAGGAAACATAACATATGGAGTATTCACGATGTTTGGTAAATGTTAACTCCTGTTAACTCAAGTCGAGAAATATCCAGTAAAATTGTGAACGTCCCTTTTTTTCTTGTCATGTTAAATGTTAATTTTTCCGTCTAGTAGAACTAAAAATACAGTTATAACAGTCTTTGAAGGCTTGTTGTTTCTTATGGTTTTGTTTTGTGTAAAATTGTTAGATGCCAAAAGTTAGTTAAAACGCAAAATTCATATTCAAAATGATTTCTATGCACTCGAAAAATAATAACAAAGAATGACACGCTTCAATTCGTGCCGACATATTTATACCTAACTTGTATCCTAACGGCAAACACAGTACTACTTTATAGGATAGGTGAAAGTATGAGAGTATTAGTATAGGTCAGAAATAACAAAAGAAATGTATTGGTCTGATTTAATTAATTTGTATTTCAGGGTAACACCAACATCCCGAATGACCCTATAATAACAAAATTTGTAGTGTTTATTAAAGGTCTTTAATACGAAACAAATCGAACCTCTATTCAAAAATTTTTAACACTTTGATCACTGATTAAAAATATATTGGCATTTTTTATTGCGTGGAGCAAATGGAAATATGGTACTTAGCCGAAGCATCCAACTTCTATAAAATCCTTCCTGTTCAAAATTCTCTAGAATAATTAACTATGAATGCAACTTATTTAGAGATTCAAGCCTGATGTGGATGTACAAAGATCTACAAAAAAATAAATGAATGTGAAGTGAAAATTCTATTGGCTTAAAGCGAATTGCAACCAAAGAACGCGAGAGACAGGCTAAGATAGTAAATGGTCAAACTATACAAAAATTATATATACTTATATTTTGTTATAAACAAGTACAAACAAAAACATCCTTATAGAAAAAAAAATCGCGGTGGCCGAGTGGTTAGCGTGTTCGACAGTATTTGCCTCGGTAGCAGTTCTGAGTTCGAATCCTCACAGCTCATGAATTTTAATTGATAATCGTATGAAAAATATATTGTGAAATGGTTCCTTCGTCACACACCAAACGGGTAATTGGACGTTAAGTCCTCCAATATGACTCGAATTACGTTTACTATTTTTAGTTTACTTACTTAGGAGTTTAGTGGTTTTTCATGAGGAATTTGTGAAGGTCATAAATAAAATTGTATTCGCTTCAGTCTGTTGGCGCAATGTAGTTTTAACTCCATTAAATTTTGTGGTCTATTAACCAAACTACTTCTTTCAATTAATTATTCTTTTTATGTGAGGTATTGGTTGAAATGAAAAAGCCAATGACACGAGCGGTTCGAACATACGTTCAGAAAAATACCTATTCACAAGAAAGAATCTTGTTTTGTTCGTTAATTAGATAAGAAAATTAAATTTTAATTTATAATTATTTTTGGATGGCGAAAGAATTAATGTATATTTATTAATTTTTTTTATTGTAAAATGGAATTTTTTTTTAGTTTTATAGTTACAAAACAAACAACTTACAAGCGGTTTATTTTTGTTAGCTTTTACTGAAAATTGATCATAAATATAATTGTTAGCATCATGTCAACTAATTTCGTGGTCCGCTTGACCAATATTACAATTAATTAAGGTTTTTAGTTGAGCTAAAAAAGTCAATGGCACGAGCGGGATTCGAACCCACGATCTTCGGCTAGATACGTCGCTGCTCTACACTTGAGCTATCGTGACTTCGATCCAGGATAATTTTCATCACAAAAAAATAGAATTTGGACTTGATTCGGGAGTTTTCGTTTTTTGGATATCCGGTGTTCCACTTAAAAATTCATAAACCCTATGGATTTTAGCCAAATTCAAGGTTTTTACAACCGACGAAAAGCTAAGTATTTTATTTTTCATCCTATGTAAACAACGATTACATATTATGTATTACAAGTGAGTAAAATAATGATAAAATCAACCTCAAAAGTTTTATGTTGTATCTTCGAGTTAAAATTATTTACCAAAACCAGGTTAATGATGTGGGGCGTGGTTTAAAAGGTTTTAAACTACTGTAAAAGTTACACATACAAAGAAAGACCTTTAACGAAAATTCAGTTTAGAAGATGGCGAGAAACAGAAACGCTTGATGTACGTTTGGACGTGATCACCGATTTCAACGAAATTTTTGGGTGATACTAGGTCAAAAAATATTAGGCTGAGTATTCTTGCCAATCTCCCTCGAAGCACGGAATTTTTTCAGTTTATTTGTTTGTTTTTTAAACTAATTAACGTATTTATTTAAAAATGTGGTTTTTGCATTTGTTCTGTATGTATTTGTAGGTAAACGCTTCTAGTAAAATAAATAGGTAAAAAAAATTTCTTTGTAAATACATTTCGGATTCATTTTGAGCTGCTTCTTCTACCAGCCATATTCTCATTAATTTGGACTGCCCGAGGATAAAAGGGACTTGGGAGTTTCAGCAGCGGAAGCGACCCTCCCGACTCTTGCTCAGACCTGGGACTTGAGTTAACTTAAACACCTTATTTGGGTTTCGCGGCACACTTAAGTTAAAGTTTTCTCCAAGGCCGTTACACCTCTTTACAAATGATTATGTGTAAAAAAATCCTCACACAAAAACACTCGTTTTTTCAGAATCAGTTTTAGTAAACTATTGTGAACATTGTAAATATTGATTTTCTAAAAATATTTTTTTAAAGAAGGCAAAATCAACGATGACATCATTAGTTTGATATTATTCTGAAGATGTAGATTCACCTGTTTTTTTGACGTTTTTTTCTGTTTATTCGCTGATTTGTTATATGAAGCTAAATATCTCTTACTCACTCTCTCTCTCTCTCACTCACTCTCTCTCTCTCTCTCTCTCTCTCTCGTTCTTTTTTATTTTGTTAGGTTAGAGATTTGTGTTAATGTTCGTTTCGTAAGCCGGGATTAGCCGCCTCGTCGGTCGTCACGACATTCGCCGCTTTGATTCCGGCTTCCGACATGGAAGTTAAGTTGGTGGGCTTGGAAGCGTGCAAATCCACCCCCATAGATAACTTTGTCTATGTTGTGACTCACCTTATCTTGCATACTGGCACCCCATGAGCTCCACTGCCTTTTCAAATCTTCCGCCACCTGCGTCGATCCGCCAGTAAAAAAATCATCGTTAATAAAAGGCCGAATAAAAGTAACAAAATAAAAAATAAATTAAAACAAATAAAATAATCAGTTGAAATATATATTTAAAGTGAGAGGGAAAAGCGTGCAGTCTAGGCACAGGTTAAACAAATAAGCGCAGTCTCGTCGTTCGGCAGCACTCGAAAGAAAAAGGGGGAGCTAAAAGGAAGTCGTCGCTCAAACTTTTCCCCTTGTAACTTTACCAAATATTTTTCCTATTTTTATGAGAGAAACTCACTTTTCCGCCTCCTCCCGCCGCCTCAAAATCCCCTTGCGCGTAAATAACGAAAAACGTTTTATTCAAGCGAAAAGCGTTTTCCACGGGAGTACAGAACTTTAGCGTGTCAATATGTTATTCTTTAATTCCAAAGATCCAGTGTTTGAAAGTTACGATGTGTTCATTACGTTTCCAATTTGGCACGATCTTCTCCACTTTAAAAGGACAAAAAAACCGGTAACATTTTTCCTTGAGCTTTTTGTCATTTTGGTCTTTGTTTATTGTATATATGATAAGTAAGTGACGATGTACTTCATATATTTGATGTTTTGACCAATCATTTCCAGTTATCTGAGCTTTTGTACACTCAAGAACTTAAGGATAAATTTTTTTCACGTGTTAGCTTAACAACCTCTTCGATAGTGGAGTCCAGAGTTTGCATTGCATCAGGACAATAAAACCTGTAAGGCATCGTAGAATCAACAAAATGACCTTTGCTTGGGTATCAGGGCAGAAAGGCTACGAGGAAGCCTAAAAATTGGTGAAAGAATATCCAACCAGGATACCTATCGGCCCTGAACCGGCATACCTTATTGCCAAAAATTTAGGTCCATTATACAATAAGTCTAGTCCTTGGATCAATGCAAATGCATTTCAGGACAGAAAAATGCGCAAAAGTTCATTCATAGAACATCGCAGCAACTAATGATAGAACTCATAAACCTAGGATGTGTTAGGACTGGAATGATAGACCGATGGACTTCAGACTCTGGACGCAAATGTACTCGGAGCAGTAGAAACAAACCTGTGCAAAAATTACCAGGAAGAAGAAGATACAAGGGAGCTCGAAACTGTTAAATTTACTTGTCCTTTCATTTCTGTACTATTCCCAATTTTTTCCGTTTTGTAAACGATTTTATTATCCATAACATCATAGAATTCACGCTATTTGGTTTACAAAATTTATAATATTTGATTAAGAACTTAAGGAGAACTTTAAAATTAAGGATATTGCAGGATTAACCTATATTGGTCATGATGTCCTCACCCCTCGTTAAAAAGCTGAATTTTTTTTAACCTTAAACCATATCAGAAAAGAAAGAAGATGAGTCGAGAATAGTGCAAATATTTTTCTTTTTAAAATAAAACAGAAAAAAAGAGCAATAAAAATTTAATATTTTATTGCTCATGGGGATTTAGTCTATCTCGTAGTAATTATTTGACGTGATGAAGCGACGTTCCCCAATCGTTTTGATGCAATTCCCCCCTCACCAACCACCCACCCACGAGGTCGAACCCCTTTCGCATCCCTCCAAATCCACGGGGCAACATCTCCTATCGACGCGTTGCAATTTTAGCTAGGCGGACTGTAATTAGTTTCAAACAACTAATTAATAGTAGTGATTAATGTGAAATTAGTTCATGCAATCAGCGGATGATGATGATGGAATAGCCGTGAGCCAACGTGATCTGACACCCCGCCATTACCGGCATTACGTAAAATGTACCCGTTTTATTTTGCCAATTCTGTCAGTGGCGGCGGATCAATTAACGTCCTGGGACCGGGCCGGGTCCAAATCTGATTTGCCAGAGATTAATTGCTTCCATTTTCACGGCGATACTTGGGGGTCCTTGTTTAAAAATAAGTCTGGGCGGTTTTTCCGTTCCGCGTTTTCAATTTTTTGTTTCGATTCTCACGGGTCAACGTTCCTAGATTCATGTCAAGAAAAAACTCAACAAATAAATACTAGAGATCATTTGAATCTCAGGGGTACATCCGTATCATTGAAGTGTCGGCGTTTTCCCATTGCCAGTGTGCCTCAGGGCAGTGTTCTGGACCCCGTAGTGTACCAGGTGTATAAGCTGACCTCCTTTCCCATCATCATATCACCTTTGCAGATGTTACAGCTATCTTTTCAAGTCACTCTGAACCATTCTTACTTCAAAAAATAAAATTTAACCCAGAAAAATACACTCACATAACCTTCATCTCAAGTACATCCCTCCTCCGGTCTACTTCAATGAAATCCAACTGCGGACAAGTGTGGGGTTCAGCCAAACGTTTCTACAACCTCCCAACAGTTTTCTTTTGACTTTGTTTGTATTTCCAAAAAAAAAATGAACAATTTGACAATATTCCACATCATCAAATACTTCAGAGATGAAACAAATTTCCTCTAACTCTCCTCGCTGACTGAAAAGACGATGCCCGCGGGATCGTCTTTGCAGTTAAACTAAACTAAATTAAGTAGAGAACCACTAGGAATCGGGGGGGGGGACCGCAATGGTTCAGGAGTTGACTACTTGGGACACCTTCCTTGTGGGCCCAGGCAAAGTCCGACCACCAACCCTGGTGCCTGGGGGTAACCAAAGATGGAGGCAAAATTCCCTATTACCTTCCCTATCCTTTCTTACCCCTTTCTTTTTCCCTCCCCCTTCCACCACTGCTTTGGCAGAGGCTTCCTGGTTTACTGAAACCGCATCCCTCAGGCAACGGGTGTATCAGTAGGGAGTTCGTATGAAATCCCGGGTGGGCGATCTGTCCCACCTTAAAAATAATACTGAACCACGGGAGTAGAGTATCCAAGCGGTTCTACTAATTGAGGCTAGATTCGCGGTGGTCGTGGTTTGTAAACAAATGTAACTTAGCTGGGGATAGAGGCCAACCGGAGCCGGAGATAGAGTGCCTTCTCTACCTCTTTGGGGGTGGCACGGCTGAAAGGCATTTTTCAAGGCACATGTATGGATGTGCCCTTTTCAGGGCACTTCTGAACTTGGATAGCATTGCACCACTTCGCTAGCCAAGGGATGTGACAAGTCCACGCATGTATAATCTTTCTGGTGTTCTCTTTGAGAACGGGCGTCTGCGAAGTCCCCTCAGGGATAAGTCCGGACGATAAACATCCTCAAGGGTCTCAACACCCATGAGTAACGATAGGAACATGATTCAGACATAATTACAAATGGGCTAATTTTCAAAAACACCAGCTCTGCTGTTGCGAACTTCGTTAAAAAAAAGACCCCTTAGGAGTATTCATTTTATACACTCACTCTTACTTATTAGCCGGTTGTAGGTAATTGTAATATACTGTAAATTAAATTAAACAAATAAAAAAGTGTTAAAATAGAAAAAAAAGATCTAGGCTTGATATATTGCATTATAATAAAAAAAAATCGTCCAGATAAAAGAATTTTAATTAATTAGTTTTCATTTATTCTTGTTGTGAATGACTTTCGCTTCTTCTATTTATCTGCTAATTAAGAATTTAAAAAAAAATTGTCGAGTACCGTATCATTATGAATTGTTTTGGGCCGAAATATCTCCTCCAATTATAACACTAGTACAGAAATATTTCTACAGATTTAGGTGAATTATATTTAGCCTGGCCATATTTATAAATTGAGGAAAGCCAGCCAAATCCGATTGTCACAACAAAATAAGAATAGTTACGTGGTTTAACAAAATGGAAAATCGTGCCCCTAGTTGTCTTATCACTACTTTGCCTATTTATGCAATTTGAATTTGAATGTAGGTACATAAAATTACATAAAACTTGAAGAGTTTTAGCTTGTAGATTTGTCGAGTGAAAATTCAGGAAACCTAGACAGTTAATATCAAAATGGCAGATGATTTTAATTAGGTCGGTGAAGCGTAAAATTTAGAGGTATAACAGAACAAATTGGTGTAAAAGTGATGGGCCAGTTTAAAACAAAAGAGATACAGGAAGCGATAGCCAATTGAAAAATCCACAATAAAAGCCACGTCGAGCACATAAATATAACACCTCCGATAAAATGTATTAATTAAGGAACGTGTAGGCGAATCGGAGCGGAAAACCGAACATTGGCGGGGGGGGGAGGTTGCCGGGATTTCATTATATTCTAAAAATATATACAAAGGATGAATGAACGTAGTAAACGTTTTGCCCTTTCTACACTGTCTTTCCCGTCTCATCCAGCCCTCTCTCTCACGCTTGTAGAGAGGAAAATCCGGTGGCGTGCCCGGGGTGGGTTGTTGTATCCCTTGTAGTAGGGGATGAATGGACAGGGTAGGTTCCCTTTACCGAGAGACCCTGACCTTTCCACCGAGCCTTGACACAATTTATCTCTCTTCCCTTTCCCACCCTTCGTCCCACTGCAGTAACAAGTGGTTGCCGATATTCCCACAGGAGTATCCTGTTCTCGGGCTCGAAAAAGGCCTCTCTCGGGGAAGACGTAAACCAACACCCTGCCCTTTATTCTCTTCCGGAATTTATCCCTGTCACGTAATATCACGATGAGACTTATTCTTTCTTTTTTTTTTTTTGCACGGGATAGTTTTATTTTCTCGAAGCAAACCGTACATAAATCTCGACAGTTCAAGACAAAAATTCCTTCTATTACGCGATTAATAAAAAAAAAATCTAAACACTCATTATTGAAGTGTTTACACATTAAAAGAATCCGATTAAAAAATTCTTAAATTTAATTTAATTTTTTCTTTCATAATATTTAAAATTAGCCTATAAATTATCTCAATAAAAGTGACGAATTAATAACCAAATAAAAATGCCAATAATTTTCGAAATTGATAAATTTTGAGCAGAACACTCCATCGTACAGGCGAAAAAGTTTCTGATGATGGGAACGTTTCCCCGAGCGACATCCTGACCGCTCCCCTTCACCTTATCTCACTTGGCGACTAAAAAGCGTTTCTCTACAATAATGACTAGAGTAAAATGATGACTTGACAAAGTATAAC